TGTGTCGATCGCTCTTTTGTCGCCTCGCTGAGCACCATTATTAAGGCGAAGGTCCTGGGTTTCTCATCGAACGCGAAAAGTGAATGTATATTGTATATTGTATATGCTGTATATTGCGAGGGTGACTTGCCAATAAACGTTACAGGAAAATTTCAGTAGGACACGGCCACCTCGCACACAGCGCTGCTTCACTGCGACCAATGAGGACAGGTTAACGCAACGTGACACGCGCAAGCTATACAGTTATGCTTCAAACGATATGTAGTATTAAAATAGAGACGTTTCGGTAAAACACGTTCGTGGGCTAGTTGGTTTGCATACATGAAGTGCGAGTAAGCGCGAATAGACAAGGACGCAGAAGAGTACCTACATGGACAGAGCGCTACTTTCAACTGATCTTTCGTTTTCGCACGTACCGATATAAATATATATCGAGCGAGCGGAAATGACACGAGCAGAAAGAAAATTTCGTGGATTCACATCGTGGAATTCACACGTGTTCGGTTCAACGATGTGAATCCACGAAATGTTATTTATGTTAGTGTTATTTCCGTTTGCTCGTCGTGCGAAAATGAAATATCAATTCGTAGTAGAGCTCTGCCCGTATCAGTACTCTTCTACGTCTTTGTCTGTTCGCGTTTATTTACTGTTCATGGAGACGTTTTGTGTGAGCGTAACACATCCGGCTGACGAAATGAATGAACATGGACCTTGAATAGGAACATCACGGGGTGATGTCACCCTGTGAAGTCACTGATCGCCAAAACTTGTGACGTAATCGTCAGCGTTAGCCTTAAGCATGTGGAGCCTCATGCCAACTCGGAAAAAGCGCTTTGATTGGCACGTATGCGTAGATACCGCTCATGGCACTCTCCGCCATCTAACGCTGAACCCAGCGTCCTCTAATCTCATTATTTACTTATTTAGTAATACCTCACAGGCCCCGGATGAGGTAAAAAGTATGGGGCTCATGGTACATTTTCGAAGAGTAAAAAAAAAGTACAAATTGCTGAAAAGTGGAGCTATATCAAAAGGAAATAACAGTGAAAATGAAATGACATGTGCACCCTATTCGTGACAACAAATGTCAAGGGCCTCTGACATGTCGTGAAGCGTCGTGCAATGACCGTTTTCCAGTCTGCGAAGTCCTGAAGCATGCTTCAAGTACACTCGAAGTCTGCTCTCGTATGCGGATATGTTCGTCGTTGCTTTTCTTACCTCCTCGAATGTTACAGCCCTGTCGCGGGCACGGTATCTTTAAAGGTTTCCTTGTTCACTAATCTTAGCAAGTACAGCATTTAATGCTCACTTGTGGATCGCACGAATGGGATAAGCGTGGTTAAAGGACCATGTACGAAGCGACGTGCTGCCATTTCATGGAAGGCCTCCTTCAACCTCAACCTTGTCTTCGTCAGAGGTGTCCCGAGGACTTTCCTGAGTGCGGAGGTGTCAGATTATTGGGGACCTGGTAGACCTTCTGCTGTGGTCTTCCGAATCGAGGGGATAGGGTGGCTAGGACCTCCGGACACCCCCTCTTCCCCTCTTAACCACTCTGGATCCGTCAGTAGTGATTGTACGCCTTTCTTCAGTTTGCTTATGTGTCTTCTCCTGGAACGGATCTTCTCCTGGAACGGAACCTTCACGTGCCTAGTGTCCCTGACATTTCAGCATTTATAAACATCTGTGCTCTTTACCTACCCAAAGCAGCATTTCTTTGTCCCCCCCCCCCCCTTTTTTTTCTTGCTTTATTTAAATGGGGCGGGTCTTGTGCATCCGAAAAAAGTCTTGACTGATGGAGTCTGACTGACTGACTGACTGACTGACTGATGCACGGCATCGTCTCGCACCGCTGACGAGAAAGATACGACCCCGCAATCCAAAAGGTGTGAGGCGACGTACCAGACACGTAGGGACGCTCACAATAGATGCAAATTTCGGGGTTGCCACCCCTACATTGGCCCCGTTCTTTTCTGTCCGCCCCTCGTTTCAGCTCTTTATCCGCCCCCTCTGTTCTTTTCGGGGCACCCGTTGCCAACTCCCGAACCCCCTATCCCCCACCGCTCTCTTGTTCGGGCCCTTTCCAAGGGCCTCCGCTGCGTTGCACTGTGTACAACCGGCGACCACACTTTCGGAAACTACTCGCGGATAGCTGCGCCACACATCTGCAAACTTGCGTGCGAAAAAAGAATCTACGTACACACATCAATGCTTCTCCCCTTTCTCCACGGACCTCCTCACTGCGACAGCTTCGGTGGTGCCCCCTGTGCTTAACCTGGTCAGCTTAGCCCCCACTGCAGAATACGACCCTTCTCACCTCTCCACTTCCCTCTACGTCTACCTGCATCGGTCGTGGGTACCCCCCCCCCCCGCCTGCAAAAAAAAAGGAAAGAAATGAGAACCTCGCGCAGCATCACCGACAGTGGGGCCCCCCATTGACAACTCGCGTTGCTAGCGGTGTGCATTTTGTATCCCGCATGCAACGCTCCGTTTGACGCCGACGAGATTTATCGCTTGAGACACGAATGTTCCATTTTGTTTTTCTGCCACGTCTTTCCTCCTCTACTCTGAACACTACACCCCCTTCCTGCCCCCTTACACTGTACTTCGTGTCCCCCCCCCCCATATATTCTTTTGTCCCTTAACCCCCCCCCCCCCCGCCTATCTCGCTTCTGCTCTTGATGTTCCCTTTAGGGGGAACCCCACAGCGTGGCAAAACCCCTCTGCCGTTCACCTTTGCAGCAACCACTTTGTCGCTTATACCACCCTGCGCCACCATCCCCCACCTCCAAACTCAGTCTGACCCTTCTCGCATCTTTCCCATCTGCATATATTTAGATCCTGTCTCTTTAAATTTCTCGCTTGGCACTTTTCGCCGCTCCGGAGCCCTCCACCCTTCGCTAGCAGCGCCCCCTGCTCCGCACCCCGCTTCGTACGCGTCCACGGTTTGCGAATGCGCATGCGTCTGCAGATATCCGAAGATCAGCTCTCACTCGCCTCCTCGTTCCGCTTCAACGATTTCTCAACTCCACTTTCTCGCTTTTCATTCTGTTTTTCTATTTTCGCATTCTCGAACGCTTTGCAGCGCGATTTCGTTTGCATGCGGTCGGTCAGCTATCCAAGCTTTAGCCGGACCTAAATTTGATCTCTTCGTACGCTTGGGTTCACTTTTCTTGACTTCCAACCGTTCAAAGTAGAAACTTTTCCTCAACCCCCTCTCCGTCCCTGCTACTTCTTTATGTATTGACCCCCCCACCCCGACTTCGTACTCGATGACTGTGCATGTTTGGCTTATTCATAAAAAGAACAGTGAAAAAAAAAACAGGTGAATGATACAACAAATCGCGACAGGAGGAAATGGACGCGTGTGCGACCCCGGACCAAAGAATTCAGAATAAGAACGCGCAGCGCCTCAAGAATGCCTAATCTTCGCATACAAAGAAAAATCGCTCGCTTGAGGCCGCGGGGTTGATGGCAGGGTTGGGCTTGTGAACGGAACCGAGACGATTGCAAAGAAGAAGCAGGAGCGGCGTACGACTGTTTTTTTATTTTACCCTGGCTCACTGTATTGTACGAGTTCGCGGAACCAGGGCCGTGGTACCACGGTTCCCGGAGTTAGGCTTAGCCACGTGGGCTTTAGGCTTAAGATCGCCGTTTAGACTGACTGGGAAGCGCCATTGAGACTCGGGTTGCCGTTTAGGCTTTGCGGTTTTTTTTGACGCGGTCTTATGCCTTATTATTGAGGCTTAGCGGTGCGGCGGAAGGATTTGAAGTGACGTGTCCCTACGGATGCTTTGCTTCCATTGCTATTTGAATCCGCCCGTCCCCCACGCCAAGTTAACGCAGCAGCCGTTTTGGACTCCCATTGTCCGCTGGGCTTTCTATAAGACTGCGACTTATAGTCGCTTCGGGATTCCAGATCCGCTTCGAGGTTTCAGATCCGTAATAGTCGTTAATAGACGCGTTCGATTGTCCTTTTTATGCGTACAATCCGCCGTTGTTGAATTTTGTACAACTGTCTTGCGTTGTTTTGTGGTGAAAAGAAATGGAAAATCACGTACAGAGTCAAGAGAACCTTTCACACTGCTTTGTACTGTTCGCACATGGGCAAACATTGGAAGATCTTTAAATTAGCCCCATACTTCTTTGAAGTGCATTCACAAAAAAAAAAAACGATTTTTACTTCTGAAGCACGGCGTTACACGAGCACTTTCTCGGTGTGTTGTACAAGTGGCGTATATTGTCAAAATGATGGCACAGCTTATTAGAACAATGCGTGATAAAGCGTCCCTTCTTGAGGACGCTTAAGACGCTTCCATCCCCCCCCCCCCCCTGCTAACCTATTTTAGTATGACATTGACATGTACGCACCCTCTTTGTACTACTATGGTAGTGACTTGACGTGCAGCGCGCTCTTTTGACCTTTTTGGCACACTGAGCGGTAACTTCGGATGATAGCCAGGCACTATAGCGTAATTTACGCGGGGGAAGGTTGTGGTCAAGGTAGTTTTGATCGTCGTAAATCTGAATTGGCTGACAATTGAGTATAGCACCCTCAACATTTTTTTTTTCCAATGTTCATGTATAGTATTACCTGCGTTCGATATCACTTAGCGTTTCGGAGAAGACTCAATAGAACGATGCAATGACGTGAACTGGGAAGTTGTGTTCATTTTGCTCATATATTTCACAGAATTACTCTTCCTTTTTTCATAATTAGAACCATATTTATATTGACAATATGCCCGCCAAAACAAAATACGTGTCTGCCCCCCCCCCCCCCGCCCCTTCCGTTGAGAACTGTTCTGGATTTACGCCAGTGCAGCCAGGAACCCTCAACGCCATGAAACGAGCACTTCATTCCATGTTTCCTCCACCCATGCAATGGGGGCTATAATTGGCACTCGTATTTTGTTTGGACTGTGAGCATCGTTTCATAGTTACATTCTTCTATGTCCCCTAACAACGTTCTCTCGCTCTCTCTCTCTTTTTTTCCCATGCAGCATCCGTATCCCTCTGAAGACCAGAAAAAGCAGCTGGCCCAGGACACCGGACTCACCATCCTCCAAGTCAACAACTGGTGAGCACTGCGCCTCGTTTCGCTCTTCACTTGCCTTACCGCCATTGCACTTGAAGATTCAATTAAAAAGCCAAACGATGAAACTGCTGAACTTGCGTCGAACATTGAGAATAATGAAAATGGCGCTGGTATTTTCATATATGATGGCGAGGTCCATATAAGTAAAACTAGGATAAGGGAACCAGGAATGTCCGTCTTTTTAAATAAAGTTGTTCTGCGGGCTCCCTTTATTTGCAATCATTAATTGGCTTACGTTATAGAAAACATCAATGCTTTTCAACGTTATAATACACGTACCAGCCTTAGACCCTACGCATTTATTTGGCGCAACTTGCGAGCACATGATCTTCGTACACCTTATAAACAAATAATGCTGTGGGAAGGATATATCTTATCTATTTATTTTTTTCATAATACTCTTAAAGGCCCCTTTGGAGGCCTTTAACTTTAAAACGGCGCATTACTATGTATTATTAAAGGCCTCTAAAGGGGCCTTTAATAATACATAGTAATACGCCGTTTTGAGAGAGAGAAAGATGAATATGGCCAGCTACAAAACTGTATTAAAAGTGTAATCATCGTCAAATTACCCTCTAGGGCGAAAAACAATTTACGGCGAGATTTTTTTTTTTAATAACCTACGCCTAAGCTGATTACGAGGGTGTCTTCAGCTCCGTGATAAGTGCAGTTCGTGTAGCTGAGCAGACTAGGGATACATAACGTATATCTTGCATTGCCTTCACTCGCCGAAAGGCCAAACTTTACTATTGATTAACTTATTGGTTTCTTACAATGTGGCACACTGTGTCAAAAGGTTGTCCTATATAAGAATATTTCAAAGGAAGTATTTATGTCGCAAAAGTTCAGGAACCATGCAAACGTTGAGTGTTATGTTCAGTTCAGTTTATTAGCGTTCTTTCCCGCATGGTTTGGTGCAAGGCTAAAGTTTTTGTCATATTCATATTCAATTTTAGTTCTTAGTGGTTATGCAGCAAGCCAGGGACACAATTAACAGTGAGAAATGTAAGGCCATGTTATAAAAGCCTCTGGGAAGAGAAGTTGACGGGATTCCCGACCATGATATTTGGTGCGAAATGTCGGCATTTAGCGAGAGGAAAATGGGTCTTCTCACAAGGAAATAGGAGTATTAAAAGTGATAACGAATACATCAAATCAACAAATAACAGTGGGAATCGGAAGACACTGAGTGAAAATACACTCAGGCAATTTTCTCATCTTGTTATTTTTACCGGGCTTGTTGGCGTTAGGTCTTGCCTGTAGATAATTTCTGGTTGGGGGGACATCCGTCAGGGAGCGCGCGTGCAATCTGGCGAGCGTAAGTCCTGTTTACACAGCCGCGCATGCCGGCTTGTGCACGCTTGCGGTGTTATACGTTGGTGCTGGCACCGACAGAGTAAGAATAAGAAATACAAAAACAAACAAAGCGTGAGAGAAACAATGGTGGCGCGTGTTGGAACTGAGGGGTCGGACGTGCAACGTGGCTTCGGATCGAGCTAAGCGTGCGCCTGCAAATCCTCCCTAATTGACTACTCGGCGGCACCTCGAAGCGGATTGTCCCTTTGCCAGCCCAGTGGGACGCGTGTATTAGGGAGGACAACAAAGCGCTACGGGAAGCGCCAGCGTGGGAGGACCCCTAGAGGGGATGAAGGGGTTTAGGGAGGCTGGGAGGGAGGAAGTCGGGGGCTGTGGCTTCGCAACAAGCCGGAGTTCTTTTTTGCGCCAGTGGTTCGGACCTCGTTAAAGAGGCCGGAGCAACGGTCTGGGCAAGCTGTTCGGAGCAGATCCGCTGAGCTGCTGTGGCATCTGCAGACAACTCCCCGTGGCATCTCTGACATCTCTAGACTCTAACAGTTTGCAACATGTCTCTAGGGACCACGTATGACCGCAGGAAAGAGAAGTTGACCACCACCCGCTTGTGAGACGAATTGACAAAACATTCATGTGTATTTCTCGAAAAGAAAGAGCTCTTCGAGTCTGTACCTAGGCATGTCATGGTGTAGAATCTTTCTTTTTGAGAAATCATCCGTATTTTTCCGTAGGTTCAGGCTACAAATGAATGTATGTCGATTTACCTTTGTAAAGCTCTTGCAACCTCACGGGATTTCACAGATTCGTGCAGATTTACAGTTTTTGTGACCTCGTTAGACAGTTCTGTAACGTCCCCAAGACATCCTTGTAACGCTTGTCCAACACCCCGTAGCATTTTTAGCACATATGTGGCACCCACATTTCGGACTCCTTTTAGTATCCACGCAGCAGCCATGAAAGGCTCCTGTGGTATTCTTGTGGAACCCTTGTGAATACTCTCGTAGCACCTCTGTGGTACTGCTGCAACACGTCTACAGAAGTTATGGTGCGTCGGCGTAACGTCCCTCTATCAGCTATGCAACACCTCTGTCTAAGCATTGCTATATCAGTTCTGAAGCGTCGACAGAACGCCTCTGCAGCTCCGTAGGTTCTCTGTTGCCGATTGGAACATATTCTGCAGGAAGTTTGTTGTAGCACACCCATTTCGTTTTGCGTCATCTTGGTGTCACGAAGTTCAGTGGAATCTTTGCATCACGTACCTCGCTAAAATTTTTGTTGCACTTGCGAAAAATTTCTTATGCCCCCTCTGCAGTTAGGTAGCGCGTCTGTGGAATGCAGATAGTTGACCATGATTTTATAAGCTATATTTCATAGTATAGAACTTGCCGTCGACATGGCAAAGTTTGTTTTTGTGTATAAGGGCATTCACGTGATTTGGTTTCGAAGAGCACAGAGAGAGAGAATTATTTTAATTTGTAGCTGGAGAAGTCTGCCTGGTGTTTCACCTGACAGGCTACTGCAGGTGCCAGGTGATGACATTGATATATACAATGATAAACACACCACACATACAGTTGCATACACGCATAACAGTCACATAACGCATACAATCACTCACACGCACTGCACTACTTACAACGTTTCGTTCAAGCCTGTGGCCCGTAAGAATGTCAGTGGCGCTTTTGTGGAGTAAAAAAAAAAAAGAGCGCAGGTCGTTGATGCCTTTTGTACCCTTCCCTCTTTGTTCGGTCAGCTTGGCAGTTGTGAGAATGCACTTACGAGTGTAAAATGAATAAGTGTACTGACAAAAAAAAATATTTTTTTAGTCGACATCAGCTGTCGCAGGCGCTGCCCTCACAATCGTGGAGCCTGTTTGCACCGTCGGAGAATGGGGCTGTCATAAAAAGTCTCAAGTTTGATTGACAGCATTCACGTGGACGCGTGCGCTAACGGTCGGCCGCTGACGCTGACCGTTGGTCATTGTGGGGAACTTCTAAATAGTGGACGGTCCAGCTTTTTAATGTCTCCTCCCCTCTCTACTCCTCCGATTCTCTTTGAATCGCGTCAGTTTTCCCAGCTCTTGCAAACTCAAAATTACCAGGTGGACTAATACTACACAGTCACACTTCAGGTTTATAAACTTCAACTTTTGCACAATGATTCGCTTTTTATTTTTTGTGGCATGCTCACAACGAATGTCATTTTTTTGCATGGGAAACGTGCAGCTATTCGGTTCGGCTTTATTTGCGAGGCTTTTCATTGTCTTTTTGAAAGCACGAAGACCTTCTCACCTGCTGGTTGTATGCAGTTTTCGGTAACTGTTCGCGAATATCAGCAGAAGCTTGACCTGTGACCGCTCATTGGTTGTATCAATAATCTTGTAGACGTCTATAATAAAGGGGATCCATTCACAGCTATATATTGACATCTAGTTGGTATCCATAAACCATTAAGATTTTGTTTGACGAGCCGCATTCTACGATATAAAGGTATGCATTTAGACCCCTTAACTCACTTTTAGGAGGCGATTTTTTTTTTCAATTTTACAACTTGGTGAGTCATATATAGATTAAGGAAAAACGTATAACAAGCACACTAGTGTAGAGATCTACACTAGCGTCGCCATGCAATATATCTAGCTTTATTCTTAACAGAGAAATTACGAATACTAATTGATGCATTAAGATGAATACTAGAAGATGGCATTTAGTACTAATTATTATGGTCTAACCAGAGTAACTGAGTGGGCTGATTTGCTGGTACCCAGGACAGAGTGCAGAGTATTTGACCGAGATGGTCAACAACAATGTAGGCCTGCTTGCATTCGCTCTGAAGCTTTCGGTTTACGAAGTTTCGAAAATGTCCCCACTTTATCTGTGTGATTTCATAGTTTCTACTTTCGACGCCAATTATTATTCGCGATACGAATTTCGCTTCTGTCATCGAAAACAAACTCAAATGAACTTTTACCGTTCATTCTACCTACCGTCGTACAGAGCAATGTACGCTGTATAGAAAGGCGCCCATATTACACGGGGCCACACGCCATAGTCGGGCATATCTCCCTTCCTGTGTGCACGTCGGAAGAGGGCGTGGCGGTGGGCGTCGACTTATCACATCACATCGTGAATGGAGTTCGCAGCGATTGGAGACCGGTAATGCACGAATAAAAATGAAAACCAAAAACTAAGGGCGGAAAAGTGGTCGATGGGTACGTGACATGGGATGTACTCTCTCTATGGGGGCTGGCGGGACTGACAGGAACTGCCGAAACTGCACTCATTTCTGTGACGACTAGACAAATGAAACAAAAGGGAAGAAACCCGAGCGTTCTTTTACATCGCTCACATAGTTAAGTTTCTCGGAAAAGTTTCGTTGCAGAATGAATTGTGGTGCTATACGGTCGTTTGGTTACCGTGGGAACAGCTTGTAGTACGCGGATTTGTCTATGCACGGTCCCTTTGCTTATGGTTCTTAACGGCGTGCTTGTGGCCTTATTGGGAAGGTCGGAAACGTGATGGTCGTCGCGTTTCACGAAACTTTTAAGTCGTACGCAATGGCACGTCGTACCCTAAGTATCAGTTTCGCTTACTCTAAAGAAGCCTTTAGATCTTGAAGCGACCAGCGGTGGTGTGGTGGTGCTAATTTATAGAACGTCAATATAGCTTCGA